TCACCAGTCCAACTTGCTGTGTCTCCTAACTGCCAAATTCTAGAAAAGTGTAATGGGAAAGGTAGGAAGGTGGAGAGGCATAGAGATATTGATCCTTCGTCTCTTAGGATCCTTATTGAAAATCCACCCTCTGCTCCAGTGATTAATGCTGCAACCCTGCAACCCAGAGAAACCTAGGGAGAGGTCTCAGCCTCCCTCCCACCATAAACATTAAAGATCTTTAAGCTGACATTTCACATGCCAAAAGTTTTCCTAAAGTAACCACAACCATGCCTCTGCCTGACTGGCTACCTTCCTCTATTCCCTGCCCCCCCAAGGATTCTGTTGCATGTCTCTGTGTGCTACCCAGAGAGTAAGCTCAATAAGGGCAGGGACTGAGTCTGTGGCATCACTAGGGCTGGTGCCATCCAGTGCAGTAATTCATGGTGTCACCCTCCCGATATGGACCTCTTCCTATACCAGACCAAACAGAATCCTTGGTAATGTTTATTATAAATATTAATCATAGAATAACGTGTAATAAATATAGTTTTAAATTGCTTAGATGTAATATTTCTTAAATTATATGAATACTAACAATACAATTGCTTTGTAAAATCTTTCTATATTGAATTATATTATTAGTTACAACATTATTAGTAACTGAGCAGATATCTTTTTAAAATTTTTCTCCTTGTTTTCTTTAATTACTACTCCATTCTCAAAAAAGCTATTGATAGAGGTTCACAAATAAGAATTACCACAATATTGTAGCAGAAGCACTGGAGATTTGACAAAATCAACGACTATAAAAACATCAGCAGCCACAGAAACAACAGCGTGTGTTTGTAGTGCGTGCACACAAAGCCACATGATTCGAGCGTCATTGTAACTGGATAATAATGACAGCTGACAGCTGTGTCTGGAGAGAGAAAAGGTTCAAAAAGTAAATTAGCATAGAGTTTTAACCTTGTAGGTATATTGACTGTGTAGGGAGCTCTGGTGGTATAGTGCCTAAGGGAGTTGACTGTTTACCAGATGGCTGGTGGAGGAAAACTGAGTGTGGTGGGCTGCCATCTGGTCAGGCTGCCCACTTTAAGCTCCAGGTGTGCCCCTCATCCCTTCTTTACTCTATTCAAGCACTTTCTCACACCTCTTCTCAGTTGAGCCTCATAACACCTCTATAGGCATATATTATTTTGTATATAAAAAAAATTTCATTTTAGGGAAAAATGTTACAACAACAGCAAAGCTTTTGAATTTGGATTTGACACTTTGAAATGTTATATAACCTCTCAACTCATGTTCTTCATCTGGAAAATGGGCATATTAGTAGCACTCAAATGTCACTGCTGTTTTGAGAATTAAGTGAGGGTGTGTGTAAAAGCAGTGTGTAGCATGTTGTAAGTGCCCAATGTATGTTTAGATTTTTTAAGATGGATTTTTGTTTTGTTAGAATAGTTTTAGGTTCATAGAAAAATTGAGAACACAGTGCAGACTGTTATGATGTGCATGCATACATTTTCTCTAGTGCCTAAGGCATTTGACTGCTAACCAGAAGGCTGGTGGTTAACCAGCCCCTCCTCAGAAGGAAAGTTGGGCAATCTAATTGCATAGTGACATCGCCTCTGAAACCCAAGGAGGGGTCTCTATGAGTCTGATATGACTCTATGGCAGTGTTTTTTCTTTTCGGTTTATTAACATCTTACATTGTTGTTTTTAGGTGCTCTTGACTTGATTCCGATTCATAGAAACCCTATATATGACAGAACAGAACTAACCTATAGAGTTTTCTTGCCTGTAATCTTTATGAGAACAGATTGCCAGGTCTTTCTCCCACATACAATTGTTAGAGTTGTTGTTGTTGGGTGTCAAAGAGTTGACTCTGACTCATAGAGACTATGTGCAACAGAAGGAAACACTGCTGGTCCTTTATCATTCTCAAAACCCTTGCTGTGTTTGAGGGCACTGCTGCAGGCACTGTGTCAATCCATCTCATTGAGCGTGTTCCTCTTTTTTGCTAATGCTCTACTTTGCCAAGCATGAGGTCCTTCTCCAAGGACTGTTCCCTCAAAGTATGTGAGATGAAGTCTCACCATCTGCACTATTAAGGAGCGTTCTCGCTGTATTCCAAGGCAGATTTGTTCATTCTTCTGCAAGTCCATGGAGTATTCAATATTATTGGCCAACTCCATAATTCAAAGCCATCAATTCTTCATTGTTCCTTCTTATTCATTGTCCAACTGTTGCTTCCAAATGAGGCAACTGAAAATACCATGACTTGGGTTGAGTGTACCTTAGTCCTCAAAGTGACATCTTTGTGTTTTCACACTTTAAGGAGGTTCTATTGCAGCAGATATACCCAGTGCAATATGTCATTTGATTTCTTGACTGCTGCTTCCGTGGGCATTGACTGTGGATCCAAGTAAATTGAAATCCTTAACCACTTCAGTATTTCCTCTGATTATCATGATGTTTCTTACTGGTGTAGTTGTGAGTCTTTTCTTTATGTTTATACCCATACTGAAAGCTGTGATCTTTGATCTTCATCAGTATGTGCTTCCAGTCTTTGCTTTCAGCATGCAAGGTTGTGTCATCTGCATATTGTAGACTGTTACTGAGTCTGCCTCTAATCCTGATGCAGCATTCTTCTTACCTTCCAGCTTCTTGGATTATTTGCTCAGCATACAGATGGAATAAGTATGGTGAGGAGATACAATCCTGATACAAATCTTTCCTGATTTTGAACCATGCAATCTCCTCTTGTTCTGTTCACATGACTGCTTCTGGGTCTATGTACAAGTTTTGCATTAATACAGTAAAGTGTTCTGGAATTCTCATATTTACAATGTTATCCATAATTTGTTATCATTGACACAAGCAAATGCCCTTCATAGTCAATGAAACACAGGTAAACATCTTTCTTGTATTGTTTGCTTTCAGCCAAGGTCTATCTGACATCAGCAATCATATGCTTCACTCAGCGTCCTCTTCTAAATCCAGCTTGAATTTCTGGTAGTTCCCTGTTAATATACTGTTACCATTTTTGAATTATCTTCAATAAACCTTTACTTGAGTATGATATTAATGATATTGTTCAATGATTTTTGCATACTGTCAAATCACCATTCTTTGACATGGGCACAAATATACAGATCTCTTCCAGTCAGTTAGCCAGGTACCTCTCTTCCAAATTCTTGACATAGAAGAATGAGAGCTTCCAACATGGCATCCATTTGTTGATGATGGTTGGTATTCTGTCCATTCCTGGCACCTTGTTTTTCACCAATGCCTTCAGTGCAGGAAACATCAAAAGAAGATAGAAGGAATATAAGGAGTCACTGTACCAAAAAGAATTAGAAATAGCATATAGTCAAGAATTGATTGTTAGAATTAATGAACTAAAGTTATTAATACATTGTTATTAACTCAAACTCATGGTTTATTTGGAGTTCTTTAGTTTTTACCTAATGTCTCTTTTCTCTTCCAGGATTACATTTTCACTTTTATTATTTCTCTTGTCATTATAGGGAGCTCTGGTGGTGTAGTGCCTAAGGCATTTGATTGCTTACCAGGAGGCTGGTGCTTCAAACCCACCAGCTACTCCTTGTAAGGAAGATTGAGCAGTCTACTTCTGTAGAGATACCATCTCAGAAACCCAAGGAGGGGTTGTTGTGAGTCTGGCTCTAGAGTCAATGGCAGTGAGTTATGTTTGTTTTTATTGTCATTATCATTTTTCCTGTAATAGACAATTGGCAAATGTCTCTTCCAGGCAGTGAAACCTATTCTCTCAGCCCATTATTAAGGAGGGGCAGATGGAGTTCCTGAAGGCTGGGCCTTGACCTGAGGTTAAGGAAATGCAAGGATAAATCAGGCTGAGCAGTGGGTGGGTTGTTGGGTGGGTGCAACGTGAACTGCCTGTATTACAGTCAAAGCCACAGGTTAGAAGCTTCTCTTGAGCAACAGAGCATGTCCAGAATTTGCCTCAGGATGAATCAGAGAGAGGATTTCTTCACTCACTGTTCAAGATGAAGTCTGGAGTGTCTTATATAAACCTGCCTGGCCCAGTGTCTCTCACTAGTGTGGCTTCTTGCTACTGCTTCTGTGCTGCCTGTGCCTTGAGGGGTAAGTGTTCTTTCCTTGGTCGTTTCCACAGGGTGGTGATTGCAAGTGGGTCCTTTGTAGGCTTTTGGAAACCACAATCTGGTGTTCACTTGAGCATCTCTGGGTTGATGGTATTTTGTCCCAAGTGCAGCAGCTCTTGGTGTAATAGATAAACTGAGCCTTGGAGTTTGGGGATGGCTAAGGTGGAGTGTTATGGTGAAGGTCTGTCAAGGGTGTATGGCCCATAGACCATCACCTGGGAATATGAACAGCCTGATCAACTACAGAGCGCTTCCCAGGTTAGCTTGAGTGAGCAATACCCTTTGAATAGTCCTCCTTTGTGGATGGGGGTAGCTTGGAACACTGTGGAGAGACCAAGGCTGATTCTTTTAGATTTTTTTTCTTTTTTTGAGATTTGGGTGAAAATTTACTGCGCAAATACACTTTCCATACAGCAGTTCACATACACTTTTTCTCATGACATTGATCACAATTTAGCACAATGCAACATCTCCCCCTCCTCCCACTTCCTCCCCATAGTTACCTCTTCCCTGTGTCCATCTCTCCATGCACTCCTACCCCCTGAGCTGTCTCCCTGTGCCTGAGCAGCCCTTCTTTCTCTCATGCTTATTCCCTCCAAGGAGTGGATCTACCTCAGTAAATGCTCAACTGGTATGCCTGTCTATTGTTTGTCTGGAATCCAAATTTTAATTGGTATTATATATCCATCTCCTCCCCATCTCACTGATAAATGGGAAGTTCAGCATGGATCAGACACAGTCAACAGAGCACAATGCAGGGGGAAGTCATGTCTTCCTTTAAACCCTTGATACTGAAAGAGAGGAAAGAAAGGGTGTGGTAAGGAGGGCAGGGCTGGACCTCCTGTGTCTTCAACAGGTTAACTTGTGGTTGAGAAGATGACGATGCTGGAAGACCACCTGGAGGGAATAATCAATGTCTTCCATCAGTATTCAGTGCGGGTGGGGCATTTTGACACTCTCAGTAAGGGTGAGCTGAAGCAGCTGATCACAAAGGAACTTCCAAACACCCTCATGGTAAGTGATGCCCTCTCAACTCAACTGCACCACCCTTCTGCACTGAAGGAAGCATCAAGCCCAGAAACATGATAGGACAAGGACTGGGGTGGGGCAACCTCAGTTAGAACCCCAAGGGTGTTGTCTGCAAGCTGGGCAATTACTCCACTTCTCTCTCTCCATGGCTCACTCATCACCTTAGGTTACATTTACTTCCTCTTCCTTGAATCTGTATCCTCATATGTAAATTAGAGAGAGGCAGGCAAGGAGCTGGATTAGGTGAGCTCTAGAGTACTTTCCAAATCAAGTCTTGGACGATTCCAGGATGGTTCACCACAGTTTCTTCTCTCTTCCTCTGTTTCTTCTGGGGATCCTTCCCCATGGTTTTGGTCGATGAGTTATTGTTTCCGGGTTCCCTAAGCTGAACTTTAAGGGAGAGGGTACCTGGAGAAAGGAGAGTAAGGATCTTGTTTGGAAATCCTGACCTCATAATCTCTGCTATCTTTTTCTCCTAGAATACCAAAGATCAAGCTACCATTGACAAAATATTTCAAGAGCTGGATGACAATCGAGATGGAGAAGTCAGCTTTGAGGAGTTCGTGACCCTGGTGGCCAGAGTGATGGTGACTGCCCATGTAAATATCCACAAAGGGTAGAAAGCTATCTCCCTGGATTTCCTTCCCAGAAATGTCTCTAAGAAATTCCCTCATTCTTTCATCAAAGCCTAGCCTTTCCTGAGGGAAATGAGATCTAATAAATGTATTCTTAAAATGTTCTTAACAACGTCTGGAGTTTTTTTTATTTTCATGCCCATTGTCCTCAAACTTGATCATGATTCACCCCTCTGCAAGTTCTCATTTAGACATTTGAGACCCCCTTCTTCCTTTGTTCATCAAATATTTATTGAATTTCCACTGCTCACTCATTCATTCATTCAGCAAATGTTTACTGAGCATCTGTGATAGCCAGAAACAAAAGAGACAAAATCCTTGTCCTCTTGGAGTATGCATTCTATTAGAGCTTTCATTCCACAGCATTCTAATCCGCCCCCCCCCCATCTTTCTCCACTTTCCATATGAGGAAATAAATTTCAGAAACAAACCCTGCTATATTGAATTCTATTAGAAAGGAGCCTTGGTGTTGCAGTGGATAAGCACTCTACTGCTAAGTGAATCTCACCAGATGCTCCGTGGGAGAAAGATGTGGCAGTCTGTGTCCATAAAGATTACAGCCTTAGAAACCCTGTGGGGCACTTCTGCTCAATCCTACAGAGTCCCTGTGAGCCTTAGAAACCCTGTGGGGCAGTTCTGCTCAATCCTACAGAGTCCCTGTGAGTCAGAATCTACTTGATGGTGACGGCTTTGTTTTTTTATTGGAAAATAAAAGATATGCAAACAAATAAAAATATATCCTATAATACACTGGTAGGTGATGATAAGTGATATGAGGAAAACTAAAGTAGGATGTTGGGCCTGGGGCAGAAGTAATGGAGGAGAGGGTGCTGATTTAGATGGGATGGTCAAGGAGTACATTTAAGCAGAAACCTGAAAAAGATGAAGGAGGGTGGCTTGCAGACATTTGGGCCTAACAGTTCCTGGTAGATGGAGACTAAGGTCCTAGGCTGGGCACATACTTGAAGTGCTTAGAGAACAGCACCAAATCCAACCTGCCTAAGATGGAGTGACTGAGGCAGGGAGTTGTGGAAGACAAGGCATAAAGGTAGCAGGGGTAGATAAGCAAGGACTTATAGACTGTGAGTGACACAGACTGTAAGTGCTCGACTGCTAGCCCAAAGGTTGGCAGTACGAATTCACCTAGAGGTACCTTGGAAGAAAGCCCTGGAGATCTACTTCTGAAAAATCAGCCTTTTAAAACCCTATGGAGCACAGTTTTACTCTGCACACCATGAGACATCTTTAGTTGGAATTGACTGGACAGTCACTAACAATATAGACCAAGGGCAGGACTTGGAACTTTATTCTAAGTGTGTTAGGGAGATGTTGGGGGTTTTAGGCAGAGAAGTGAGATGATTCAATTTATGTTTTTTTTTTTTTTTTTCAATCACCCTGGCTGCCTTTGTGGAGAATAGATCACAGGAAGCAGGCAAGAGTGCAAGCAAGGAGATGAGGTAAGGAAGGGTTCCTCAGACAGAGGCTGTCTACCACCCACTCCCTCTGAATGAGTTCTGGCTCATTGTGACCCTCACTGGGTTTCTTCCAAGGCTGGAAATCTTTACTGAACTAGAGTGCCTCTTCTTCCTCCTGCAGAGAAGCTGGTGGGTTTGAACCACTGACCTACTGGCTAGTAGCCAAATGCCTTACCCATTCCACCACCAAAGCTCCTTGTAATGTATGAACCCTTATTGAAAATGCACTGTGATAGTTGGACCTGTGTGTCAACTTGCCTGGACTACAATTCTGTGTGGTTTAAGCTGTTGTGATGTAGTTATTCCCATGATGGGATCAGATGATTACGTTTTGAGCAGGGAATCTTTTGAAAGGGAGTTTCCTTAGGAGTGTGGTCTGCTTCCAGTATATCTATGGGCTGTCCTGGAAAAGAGACATTCTTCTGTGGATCGAGATTCTGTTGTGCTGCCTACAATTGTCTCTAAGTGAACAACCCACTATCTGGCCTGGAGATCTTGGATTCTTCATTCGTTGGAGTCAACAGCCAGTGTACTGCCTACCAGCCTTGAGCTCCTCAGCCCCTGAGGCTGCAAGAGTTGGGAAAAGCCTCTAGCTTGACATTTGATCCAGGAACTTTGGACTTGCCAGCTTCTATAAGTGTGTGAGCCATTTTCCTAAGATAAATTTCTCTATTTACTGGTTTTGTTTCTCTAGAGAACCCAGTCTAACACATTAGGTACCGAGAGTGGTTCTAGAGAGAAAAATCATAAGGATGGGCTTCCTAAATTGGTTGTCTAGTTTGATTAATCTTGAAGACACTAGTGACCCTGCCTCTGTTAGTAAGAGGGCCTTGGTAATCTGTGGCATGAGGTGGCAACATTAATATGTGAAATAACACCACTAATAGATCAAGTGGGAGCTCTGGTAGCATAGTGGCTAAGACACTTGCCTGCTAACCAGACGGCTGGTGATTCAAACCCACCAGCCACTCCTTGGAAGGAAGGTTGGGCAA